ACGATTTATTTATTAAAATTCATATTATTATTAATATTTTTAATTAATTCAAATTATTATTATTATTTAAAAAAAAGATAAAACTAATCTTTTATATAGCTAATAATATCTTTGATAAATTAACTAAAAAATAATGATAATAAATAATAAATAATTAATTAGGATTTTCTACAGTCAATCATTACTTTCAATGCATTTCCGGTTTTTGCCGTATCAAAAGCTTCACACGTTTGTTCGATTTTATAACGATGAGTTATCATTTTAGATAAATTTTCTGCTTTTTTAGACGATACCAATTTCATCGCCATGGAATAACTAAATAAATAAATAAATAAATAAATTACGAATCGATAGTATAATAATTTTTTTGCAAAAAGGAGGAAGGAGAGGATGGGGGGGGGAAATTTTACACCGTGAAAGGATTCATATTATTCATCAAATATCGCTTACTACATAACTATAATTAATTTCAATTGTAGAGAAGAGACGAGAGAGCCTCTAATGTCTTTTCTAGTTAAGAGGAGAACTAATAAGATCCCATCTGGCGTTTTGCCTCCAACAGCATTTTGAATACATTCTATGAAAATAATTTATGGTTTCGACCTTTTCCCAACATGTTGTGTTCAAAAGGTGCTTTACTAAGATTACCTTTGACCAATTAAGTTGTTATTTCTTGAATTTAATCTTCATTAGTTAAAATAGTTTTCGCACAAAAAGAAAAAAATTATAAAAAAAAAAAAAAAAACGAAAAAAACTTTTTTAATTGTATTCATGTGTATGGTAACATTACATTGAAATTTATATTATCCTGTTGTAAAATGTATTTAATTAGATTTTTTGTTTGTTGTTCTTGTTCTTGTTTGTTCTTGTTTGTTATTGTTTAATAAAAAAAAAAATTTGGATTAAAAACTACGACAATTTGTTAAATTATTAACCGAAAAAAAAAAAAAAAATTTCTATTTTTTTCCTTTCGTTTAATTATTTATGAAGTGAGGGAGGGAGAAAGAGGGTGGGAGAGGGGGTGGAAGAGAAAGAAAAGAGAAGTAAATGAGAGTGTTGATATTTTAAAATTTGTAAAATATAATATCCGGATGAACTTTTCATAACTTCCTCCACTTTTCTTTTTTTTTTCTTTTCTTTCTTTTTCGTTTTTTCTTTTTTTTTTTTTTTTTTTTTTTAAATAAATTTTCACCCTGGTGAAGAAATGCAAGATTATCTTTATAGGCCACCAACTTTTATGCTTTTCACATTTTTCATTTTTTCATTTCGCTCTGTTTAATATATATATATATATATATATATATATATATATATATATATATAATAAGAATTTTTCTTTTAAACATCTTTATATTTATATTATATTTATACTTTTATAGTTTTTTTTTTTTTTTATGGATTTTAAAACGATTTCAATTTAATTTCGTATGTTTCGAATATAAAAATTATTAAAAAAGGGAAAAAATTATAAAATAATTAACTTATTACAACAACACGTTATTAATTACGTTAATAGTTTTTTTATTTAATTAAAACTATTTTAACTAAACATACGAACGAATAACACACATTTCAATTTAATGTTTTAGTCAATTTAAATCGAATTTATAACTAATTACAATAATGATAATTAAAAGAATAACATTATAATAATAATAATAATAGAGAAAAAGTTAGTTTGTAAATGGATTTGAAGGCACCACACACACACATAAAATGATAGTAATTAAAAATCAGTAGGGTTTTAGTATGAATAAATAAATTAAGGTACGTGTAAAATTTTTGGTTTATACGACGAACACACACACACCCACACCCCCACCCCCACACACGTGAGTGCACATACACAGGTTACATTCAGAGCACTTAATAACCATTAGACAAAAAACATTATTTATTTAATATTCATGGTATGAATTCGAAATTATCGAACTGTGAGCATCAAAACCGTTAAAATCGTCTGCGACAAGTTAATTGCGTTTTTATTAAATTAAAAATTATTATTATTATTATTATTAATATAATGATAATAATATTATTAATTTTTTTGAAGAAAAAAAAATGGGATTTAATTTTGAGAAAAAAGAAAAAAATAAATAATTCATGAAAACTCGAAGGAAAAACGGTATGAGAAAGAAGGGGATGGAAGGGGAGAGGAGGGGAGAGGAGAGGGGATGTAGAAGAATGTAAAGAAATGTGTGCGTTAAATGTAAAATAATGTTAAATATAAATAATGTTAAATAAAATAATGTTAAATAAAAACGTGTAAGAAAAAAAAAATGGAAATGGAAAGAAAGAAAGAAAGAAAAATTAAAAACAATAAATTTAAGTGATTAATATCAAACTGATTCCGGGGGGAGGGGAGGGGGTGGAAGGGGTAATTCAAAAAAGTTACAAAAGGTTGTTGTTAAGGGGGGGGGGGGGTAAGAGGAAATAAATAAAAAGGTTAAAATTTTTTTTTTGCAATTTGAAATTTAATTATTAAAACTACAGACCAAGAAATAAAATTAAGATTGGTATGTTTGTTTGTGTGTGCGTGTAAACTTGTGAAAGAAAGAAAGAGGAAAAAAGGTAGGAGTAGTAAATTTAAGAAAAAAAAAAGGTTTATTTGTTTAAAAGTGTTAAATTAAATTTAAAATTTAGGTATAAAAAAAAAAAAAATTGTACTTTAAATTTCACGACGCGTTTATATATAAATAAATAAACCGCATAAACTTTTCTTTTTTTTTTTTTTTTAATTGGAGTCGTTCGTTAATGAGTTAAAGTTTTTATTTTTTCACACACAAACATCTCCTGCTTATATGAGAAAAACGTAGAAAAATCAACAGCAGAAAGAAATAAATGAAAGAAAATTTTATTTTATTTTTTAAATAAATAAATAAATAATTTAAGTTATTGTCATAAATATTTGTCGATTGAAATGGTGTTGACACCGTGAAAATTCAATATGGAAAATTCTTAGTACATAAATCAATTCAAAATATTTGTTAAGCGATAGTAGATCAATCGTAGGCCGCATACAAAAAAATTATAGGAGAGAATATAAGAGGGGGAGGGAGGGGAGGGGAGCCTTTGGGCCTTTGTTATAGATTTCCTTTATGCTTTTCATTACGTCAATAATAATATCACGAATCAAACGTGTTGATAAATTATTTTAAAAAAAATTTTTTTCTTTTAATTTTAATAATTTTTTAAATAAGCGAAACTAAATATTTAAATTTTATGTAAAATAATTCAAAAAAAATTTTAATTCTGTTCAATGACTTGTTTAAGTAATAAATATATTTTTATTGAATATTATTAAACTTGTAATAGATAATTAATAGATTTTTGAAAACCCTTATTTAAAATTAAATAAAAAAAATGAAATTATTTTTAACGTAATTATCGATTTATGAAGA